ATCACCAACATCATCAAATAATACAAATTTAAATTCATCAAGTGGTTCATCATCATCAGTTGTTGGTACAAGTACAAATATATCATCATGGACATCAAATGAACATTCATTAATACCAACATTATCATCACCAACAGTTACTACGAATTCGAGTACTGCTTTTCTTAATAAAACAGTATCAACACCTGTTTTTTCACCACAAACATTTGCTCAAACAAAATTTGGTTCATTAAAATCTAAACATGCTGGACGACGAAATCAATCAAAGTAACAAATATTTTTCATTTTAATTCGATTATTATTATTATTATTATTATTTTTGATTCTCTTATTATTCACAGAATGTTACCAAGTGAATTTTCTGCTTATATCAAACAAAAAGAACAACAACAATCAAGAACATCACAAATACCATTTGATAATAATAATACATTTATTCCATCATCATCATCAGCTATAATTCGGCCACCTAATTATAGAAATTATTATAATCCATATGTAGCACATTCACAATTTAATTCATCTATATTTAATAATGATTTACCATTAAGACCAAATACATTACCATTAACAAATGGACAGTCATCAATTTATATTGAACAACAAATGACCAGTTCAACATCTTAAAACAATCATCTTTTTTTTTTTCTTTTGTTATATTTATTTATTTATATATTTATTTACTTATTTATTTATTTATTTATTTTAATCGTTGTTTTTTTTTCTTTTCTTTTTTTCTTTCTTTTTTTGTTCTTTTGGTTATATGGTCTCGGTTTTGTACTCTTTTCGTATTTTATCTTATTATTATATAATTTATTAATCGATTTTTTTTTGTTTGTTTCTTTTTGTTGTATTTGTTTTGTGTTATTTTATCTTCATCCACAAAATGACAGAACAGTTTCATTCCTATTTTCCCCACGTTTTTTTTTCCATGTATATAGAATACAATATATTGTTCCACATTCCAATAAGGTGAATAATAACCTATGTTGTAGAAGTTTATCATCACCAGTAAATAGTTTTATTTTGTCAAAAAAAGAAAAAAAAAATATTTAACATATGTTCTCCTGTCTCTTTTTTGGTTTTATTACGATAATGTTTTGATTAATCATTCGCTTCAACATTTCGAAATAGGTAACTCATCGATTCTTGATTATGTATACGACGAATAGCTTCAGATAATAGAAGACTTATATCAACAGTTTTAATTTTAGTACATTGAAGTTTAGCAAATTCATGTGGAACAGTATTTGTAACAACAACTTCTGATATTTGAGATTCTTCTATTAATGATGGAGCATCATTTGTAAATAGAGCATGTGTTGCAAGTGCATAGACTTTATATGCACCACGATCACAAAGTATATCAGCAGCTTGAACAAGACCAGCAACATCATCAATCATATCTTCAACTATAATAGCTATTCGACCACCTACATCACCAACAACATCCATTGGTAATTTTCCTTTGACGAGCACGTCTATAAAATAAAGAAAAATTTCTATGATTATTAGTTTTATTATTATTATTATTATTCTTTTTTTGTTATGAATTATTTCTTTATGTGTATTCTATAAAATCACGCAACTTACAAATTTATTTTCTTTCTTATTTAATTTCATCAGAATGTGAGTAGCGGAAGCGGATCTTGAAGACCGGATATCGTATTTCCTATGGCAACACATTTTCCATTAGGAATATGAATTTTTAAAAAGTTTTTTTAATCAATTAGAATGATTTAACAATATTTTCGTTGTTTTTTTTATTGATAAAAGTAATAATGAAATTATTAATCTCTTATTAGTCTAAATTAATGTAATGCAAAGAAAAAAAATAATAAATCTGTTTAATTGAATAATACCTCTATTTCTAAATTGAAAACTACAAAATCTTAATCGTGAACCTGCTTTTTCTGCTTGTCTGATTTATCAAAACCAGCATTCATGTAGAAAAACACACATAGTTATATATGTATATATATATTTATGTCGACAGATAATAATTACTTGAGCCCAAGGCAAGTGATGGAATTGTAAATACACTTCGTCGTTTTGATATAGATTCGGGTGAATCTTCTAAACTAGTTGATAATGGTGGTGGTGGTGAATTTCGTCCATCAGCTTCTTCAATTTCAATTTCTCGTTCTTGACTACCATGTATAACAGCAATATTTAATTTTAATCGTTGAGCAAAACCAGTAACACGTTTAGCTTGATTAGGTGTACGTGCTACGATAACGGAATTACGCCAATCAGGAATCTATGATAAATATGACAAGAACAAAACAAAATGTAGGTTTGTTTTTTTTTTCAAAATCAAAAACTAGTTAGTGTTTTTTTTTTCTTTTTTTTTCTATGTATACTTGTTGTTGAATATAATCAAGTAGAAAAGATGATGCTCGTAAATTATCAACTGGAATATCAAAAAAACCTTGAATTTCTTTTTGATGTAAATCAACTGTTATTAAATGTGTTAATCCTGCTTTAACAAGCATTTGTGCAACAAGTTTCATTGTAATACATCCACGTTTTTTTTGTTTACTTTGTTTACTATCTAAATATGACAAATATTAAAGATACTATTAAATAACTAACTTACAAGGTAAATAAGGTAAAACTCCCTAAAAGATAAGATTTTTTTATTACATATTTGAATTAGAAAAAAACAAAAACTTACAATAATATTTCTAGCACATGATGTTTTACATGCATAACTCATTATCATAAGTTCCATAAGATTGTCATTTGGATCTCTATATTATAAAATTTATTTAAAAGAATTTATCAAACTAAGATTTTTTTTACTTTGTTGAACCTGTTTGAATAATGAATACATCTTTACTACGAACAGATTCACGAATTTCGACATGGGTTTCTATATTAAAATAAAACCATACATCATTGATTCAATTTAATTTATTAACCTTTATCCGATTTTTTATAAACACGACATTCTCCAAGTGGTTTAATACGACTAGAAAAAACAAAAAAAGAAATTCTATTCGAATCTCTGTGGAACATAAATAATTATAAAAAAACACAAAACATAAGCAGCAGTGCACTTAAAAACAGCAACAAAAGAAATAACGTGAACATTTCAATAAAACTATATACGTACTGACTACTTTCTGTCTTGTACGAATAAACAATTCTGCAATAAAATAAAGAAAAAAGCAGCATACACTGGACAATTATCATAATTAGCAGAAAATTTATTTAGAATAAAAGCAGTGAGATATTGTATAAGTTAGTTGATATTGAATTATCTATCAGACAAAATTCGAGGTAAAGATACAAAATAAAATATACCTTGATATATTTTCAGCCAATTCCGGATATGAATTACCGGTGAGAATAACTACAATAGTAATAAAAAAATACTATATTAATATTTCTTTTTCTTTATAATAAAAAAAAAACAATTAGATGATCATTTATCTTTTTGTATCGACAAATAAAAATTTTCATAAAGTATCGAAGTATCATTGAACTGATAAATCACTTTTGAATCAAGACTACGTACATTATGTAGATCTAAATGAACTATGAATACTCTGTAAAGAGTTCGTATCCTAGGCTTTTATTACTACCGAGATACCACACTTTTGCGATACTTGTAAAATGAATGTCATCATCCCCTTTAGAAATATCAGAAAAAAGAGATTTTCGAATTTCGATCTGAAACTTTATAAGGAGACAGGTCTTAACGAAAGTAGTTTCAAGTCTCTTGATTTGCTTCGATCCTGAAATAAGAATATCAAATCTACTGATTTATATAAACGATGTAAAAAACACGCTATTATCATAGTTATATCTTAGGGTAGGAACAGCAACGAGATCTGAAACATTCACAATAAACTATTCTCATTAAGACCTGTCTCTAGGTAAATTTTCAGATCGAAATTCATTTTTTCTGATGTACCCGCATTCTTGTAAAAAATACCATAAAAGTATAATATCTTCACAACAATAAGTTAAGAACATGAATCCCTTTCAAAGTATTCATAATTCATTTGAGCCTATAACATACACATAGTCTCGACTCTAAGACGATTTATTAGTTGACAGACTTTACTCGTTACATTGAGATATAAACCTTAGAAGTTTTGTATTAGCTGATAGAAATGAATAAAAATTTTCATCTTTCATATTATCTTACTTACCCATTTCAGATCGAGCAGAACGATCTGCAGACATTATGTTTTATTAAAATCTAAAAATAAAATCTACTTAAACTAGATGATGAACGAATATCTGTGATAAATAAAATATTTCTATTAGTTTAGGATGTTACAAACATAAGAATAGCTATGTTATCTTTTGTTTATTCTTCTTTTAATATTAAAATATGAAGTACCAGTTTACTTTAGACACAGTATCCTCACCTTCACACAGTACTGTGCGTGCAAATCATATCACTCCTATGCTGAAAGTAAACCAGTGACTCTTTTCATTCTGTGAAAAAAAAGGGGTGTCCGCAAGCCACTAGCATTGAGAAGGAGTCGAATGTCTTTTTAGGGATGGGTAAACAAAACAAAAAAATAATAAAATGTTGAAACTCTGCTACAGAAAAAAAAGAAAACTTTTCATGATTGTGGAGATGATCGATCCTCCACTTGGGACCATCTCAGAAAACAAGTACCACATGTAGTAAACAACAAATAAAATCTTTTAAAAAACAAATATGCAACTAATGATTCGTTGGGAAGCAAACAAGTGATAAAAAATTTTTCTTTTCTTTCTATTTCTACTATTTGATTTTACTTTATCATTTGAGTTCTTAAATAACCAATAATCCTTTTATGTCGCTAGTTTACAGAGTGAATAAATAAATGGTGCAGAAAATGAAGTTATAGATCAAGTTTTATTAAAAGAAGTACAAGTCTAAACTTTTAAAGATAAGTTTTACTTTTCGATCGTAATGATAAGTCATAGCATAATCAGAAAAATAAATGTAGGGGAAAGACTCAATCTTCTGGCCATGACTGCAAAAGGAGATATTAAAAATTCATTTGCATTCGTTGATCTTCGATATATATTTTAACGTTAGCAGCTTGTGTACTGAATTGTTGAGCAAGTTGACGAAGCTTTTTAGATGTATCAGAAGTTTTTTTTTTATGAAGAGCATGTCCATTAGCAGCAAGATCAATTATTTGTATTGGTAAAGTTATTGCACCTAGAAAATACTTATAACTTAGAAAGATTTGATAATATAATATTAAATTATTACCTAAAATAACTGAAGCAGTTCCAATAAATTTAAATCAATTAACTGTTACAATAGCTGCCTTGTGAAACTTGAACAATAGAACATGTTAAATTACGTAAACTTGATATTTCTCTAAAAATACTTGATGCAGTTTCTCGAAGTCTATGTTCATCAGTAGAATTTTTTTTTCTAATTTTTCATTTTCTTTTTTTCAAATAATTATTTAATTTTAAAACATTTATTTCATCTGTTTGACATAATTTATTCAATTTTTTCATGTGTAATTTTGTTAAAATATGTTCAGTAATATCAGAATCTAGAGAAGCTGTACAATCGGCTGCTGCTAAAGTACTACCATCGATAGTAAGAAATATTGACAAACTATCAGTTGGTATAGCTAATGTAAGTCCTGTTAGACAAAGCAATGTACCAGCAGTTCCAGTACTACCGGTGACAACTTTTGTAATTTTCACACTTTTATGAATTTCATAGAATTCATTAGCTGATTCTTCAATTAAATGAATTATTTCTGTTCGATTTCGAAAAAAAATCATTTAATATTTTTAAGAATATGTTCATCGTATTACTCCTCATTGTTACATTCAAATGAATCTTTTACAACCATATTTGAGTTGATGAAATACATTATATTTCGTATATCACTATTTTATAAAAGATATTTCATATTTTTATCAACAATCTCGGAAGTAAAAAAGAAAAATCCAAAAGACATCAGTCTGTGAAATCGATATCTTATCTGGAAATGAACAATTAGCTTACCGTTGTTTTGATAAAAATGAAAAAGAAAACCAACAAGTAAATAAAACTGTTATCGATGCCTAAATATGAGACAGACCAATGTTTTTCAAATAACTTTCAATAGGTGCAAGGTAGAAATCTACAGATTCCACTATTCGAAAGAGCTCATCGTGGACCTTAAAATCGGTGCAAATTTGATCAGTCCAGAGATTGACCGAGTATGTGAGTTTTTGCGGAAGATTTTGAAAAGGGTTTTCTAAGAAGTTTTTCAATTGAATTTCGGCTTATGCTGTAATCATTCGATAGACGAAATTAGTCTCTTTCAATTTACGCAGAGCCGACATCTCTAACTTGTTCTGCTCTAGAGCTATACGAGTTTTTCAGAGATCTCGGCTTCGTCTTGATGATCTTGAAAGCATTCTGAACAAAGTCAAGACAGGGTTAATTCATCAAGCTAAATTTGGTAGTGATATTTATTTTCAGTTCGAAACTATCTAAAACTATTATATCAAGATTCTCGAAATCTCAAGTTTTGCTGCTATATCTTGGAGAGTCGATATTTCAAAAATCTTGATATAAGTGTTTTAGATCGTTTTGAAACTGAAAACAATCATGATCACCTGATTGAGCGTGATGAATTAGTCCTGACTTGACTTTGCTCAAAGTACTTCAAGGGCATCAGGGTGAAACGGAGATCTCTGAAAAACTCTTATAGCTCTAGAGCAGAACAAGTCAGAGACGTCGGGTCTATGTGGATCGAAGGAGAACAATTTCGTCTATCGAATGATCACAGCACCAGTGAAAACTCAACTTCAAAGTGTTCTAGAAATTCGTTTTTAAAATCTCATTCAAAAACTCACTTGATTGATCAATTGTTGGACGCATAAAGTTTGAACTGATTTTATGGTCCTCCATGTCTTCTTTTAAATAGTGAAATCCGCAGATCTCTTTCTTATTTCTATCAAAAGTCATTAAAAAAAATCCGCCTGCCTTCTATTTGAGTGTCGGTATCCAGGTCAGGAAAGCACCATCGTATACGATGAACCAATACAACACTATACGCTCAAACACGAATAACGTATGTCATGAACATAAACGACTATTGTACACGATCGTATTTGGTCGTAAGTCGAGTTGTACTAATCGAGTACACAGATTTTTTCGTTTTGAATTCAGTAACAAATATAATGATAAATATTTCTTGTGAAAAAATAATTTTTTTTTATCTAGATCAATTGAAACAGTAGATCAATGAGTGAGTAATTTTTTTCAAAAAAATAAAATAAAATTTTATCTTTAAGGCGATATAGAGAAAGCCCCTACCTCTTGAGTGAGAAGAATAGGTGAATATGATAGCACACTATATCATAGACAACCATGTACGATCATTATTTATACTGAATACAATCATTTACAACTGTCGTAAAGCTCGTCCTGAGTCATAAATCATTTCGTTTTGAATAAATTCTTTGTTAAAGGTTTTTTGTTTTTCATCGTATTTGAGTAAGATAAGAATAACATATTTATAATTTGACAGTTTTTTTTTGTCTTTTAAGAAAGAACTTGTAGACAAAAAAAAATTCAAATTTAGTAGTTCCTTAAAGTAAACATATGGTTTATTGATATACTTACATTTTTATTTGTATAATGATTAATGAATCAAATTTTAATGATTATAATTTACCAAATTTAACCAATACAACATCACAAGATTTTAATTCATATGATTTAATTACATCTTATTCTGATAGTTGGCAATCAATATCAAATATTTCAAGTGAAAATTAAAATCTTAATCGTTTGAAAGCTAAAATTAATTGTTTTGTTTTTCGTAGACATCCAAATCTTGTTAGAGATATTAAAAATTATTTTTATGATGAAATGATTACTTATAGTGTTAAACTTTCATTTAGATTACCATTTAGCAAGACTGATATAGCTAAAACAGAAGAATTAATAAATCGTTTCTTTATTGAACATGAAGAAACTATAAGATTTATGTTTACTTACTTTTTTGATGATATAAAACCAATATTACTTAATAATTATTATTTATATTCAATATCAGATCTTCGTATAATCAATTCAATTTTAAATTGTGGTATGCGTGAAGCAATAATATTATTTTTGAAATTCAAAGGAGCACAGATTCTAACGCTACGATTGTATAAAACTGAGATAGAACAAAATGAAAATGAAAATGTATATTCAGAAATTCAATTGACCTCTAATAAGATGAAATTTATTCAGATATTAGCATATGCGTTCTTATTATATGCTCTATTTGGCTGGAAAATATTTTATATAATTTGTTATTTTTTCATAGGGTTAATATGTATTATATTTTATGCATATCTTTCAACAGGATCTTATAGAATAAAAATTTTTAATTCTATTTAATTATTTATTAAATTTGACATTTTCTGTAATGTTTCATTAATCAAATTATACTTTACTTTACCCAGCAAGAAAAAACAGAAGCCAGTCAATAAATGAAATCAATATAAGAATATGAACTACTACTAATCATTGTCATAATACTTGACAATCTATTCGAATAATATTTATTATGATTAAACAATAGATTATGAATGTTTAGTACTAAAATACATTATCTTTAACAAATCTAACATTATTAACCGGCTGTCGAAAAAGTTATTTGAGAAAATGTTTTGTTCATTTTTCAGTAGCCTGTAGATTTTTGAAAACATCGAGTTTGTATTCATATTTTGTATTATTTTTGAATATAGGTTCAATATTTGTCTAAGATTTCTATTTTAGTCAAACTTTTAGAGACGCGAAACTTAAGTTAGGATGAAGAAAACTGACGTTTTTTTTTGTAGCAATAGTCTCCTTTGGTTATTTTCGATTTATTTAATCCTCTACCGATGATCGAGCCTAAAAGGACATAGTGTTGATTACAAATAACTTTACAAAGAAAGAAAGTAATTAAAGCAAAGTATACAAACTTATATCAACACAAAACAATGAGCACAGATAACATGTGTTACAAGCGATATTTTACAGAAATTGTAGTGTAGGAGAGAGGTTTTGATACTAATTCTCAAGAAACGAACACTTTGTCATCCCTCTCCCTCCCTCGGTAATAGTCTCTTTTACTGCATACATTATATTACCGATTTTTTTTGCTTTGATTTAAAGACGAAATTGTTCTAATCAAGAGTTTCAGAAAAATCATTCAGAAATGACCGAGCTTACATTGCAAGTCTGTTTTCCATAGAAATCAAGAAAATTGAAACGGTATCTCTTACCAAAATACTCACTATTGATAAATAACTTGCACCAAACTAAAAATTAGTATCCCATTTCAGCTAAGAAGTGTTTGCTCTTTTATTTGCTGTATTTGAAATAATTTTCGCTTAAGCTTTAGTACGTTGAAGCTTGTTCAGACTCCATTTATGAGCCTTCGAAAAGTTCGGTTTACAATCCTTTAAAGAGTTCGTAAAAATAAACTAGTATTATTTTGCTAAATTATTTTTCGATCACCTGTTATAGTATTGTGTTAAAGGACAATAAATATGTAACAGCTGAAAATCGTTCAATAAAAAACTTCAAAATTTAAAAAGCATTATCAGCTCTATTCAATGATATAATAGAAGGGAATCAAATAATCATGTTTTAAGCTACTTTTGTACATATTCAACTAAATATTTATTTAACAAAGATAAATTCTCTACATAAATATTTGAAAAGTATTTCAATAACTAAATATAAATTTCATGTATTACATCGTTAATTTTGAAATAAGTTTTACTAAACAAAAAAGAATAGAAATTTTCACAATACTAAATTCCATTACATGAAATATGTAGTAAAATATAGTCATTTTATATTATTTTAAGATTCATTTTGACAGAGATGATGAAAAAGAAAACTGATTCAATTAAGTATAATCAGACAAATACATTAAATACTTATCTTTTATTATATACTTATACAACTATGTTGTTATAACGCCTTCAAAATCATAATCTATTAATTAGCATTTGAAAATACATTATAAATTACAAAGTAGAATAGCACACATCTTTTCTACTTGATGAATATTATTTAATGAAAAAAGAATGTACGAGCAGGACGTTTTTTCTACTACAAATATAAATAATGCTACATGCATCGAAATATGTTTGATATTTTCACGAATAGACAATAAAAAAAACTAAAATATCGTATTTGTGTCATCGAAACAAAAACATGTTTAAAAGATTAAAATCTATAAAAGATATTTGTATTTGTATTGTCTACCGATAGGTACTATTGACTGAATAGTTCAATGCACATAGAATCATTGAAGGTTAATGAGTAGTTAATAATTCAAGTTCATCAATACGTGACGATGATGACACACGTCAAAAATTCTTATGAGGTTTAATCATACTTTTATACGATGATGTCTATGAATAAAAATAAAATCGGTGTAGTTAGATAAATGAGCATTTACGATACATTATGATGAATTTATATATGTTGATATCAGATAATCAAAGGATTGTTTTGTACAATGTTTTATTTACATCACTATACCGATGATGTTTCAAGGACTAAGTATATCAATTATATTGCTGATAAAGTTAAACTAGTATATAACATTCGACTATAACATCTGGTATTAATAAAGAATTATTTTAGGCTCAACAAGCGCGGCATTTATATACGTTGAAATACGATCAAGAACGGTCTACGGTTATTGATCATCAGCAGATGATGATGATGATGATGATTTCTGCTAGTTGAAGAAAGAAAAAGAACAAATCTTGTTAACATTTTCATATGATGTCTTTAGGTCAAAAAGAATCGACAAAATCAATGACTATTTTCTTGTCTAGCAAGCCAATTGGAATATTTGATTTGGAATGGTTATTGCATTGTTTTTCTTCTAAATGATGCAGCTTTCAGTTGATTAGCTATCATCATTGATTATGTGTATATAGAATAGTTCAATTGATATAACTCTAATTGCAAACCGTAGTGTAATATTCATTCTGCTGAGCATTATTACTTTTCTTGTTTTCTCTTTAATATTATTTATTGATTCATATAAGGTTGATTTGTTATGATTAGTCAACCATAGCATCTTTCTTTCAATCAAATTGATTTTCGAAGAACTATCGATATTAGGTAACAACTGGTTTGTTTTATCTTTTGAATACGTTTTTTTCTTTTTAAGGAAACTCTGATTGTTCTTAGTTTTCAATATCATATTTAACAATTGTAGACAAATGGTCTGTACTATCACTATTAGTTCTTGTTATACTTGATGTTTGACATGCTATTATTGATTTGCCTGTATATACTTTTTACTATTTGCAGTTGATTACTTTTGACACATATTATAACGATGTATAAACGATAGTCATAAATCAAACTAAAGATAAAAAGTATCGAAATAAATCAATATAAGCCTTTATTAACATGCCGAGACTGTCTGTTTCATGCTATTGTTGAACGATATATAAATGAAGAAAGGAATTATTTACAGAAATACTTAAAAGCACTACTATCTGCTTTATTCAGCTTAGTTTTCTTCCCAAGTAACTGTTCTTCCCTATATTAGAATAGTCTATCAATAGAGATAATTCAGATATACAATCATCATGATAAATAAACTTGAACATTCATTTAAACGTTGTGACTCAAATTCAAATTAGTCTATTCAAAATTCGAATTCTGATTTTAACATGACAAAATTAAAACAATTTTTTTGATAAACCGAAGAACTTAAAGAAAAGTCAATAATTCGAGTATGAACGGGATTAGGGATCTACATTGGAGCAAGAGAGATAATATGATCTTACTCCCTTTTTAACTTTCACCTGAGGCCCACTTCACGCCTGACTCCTCACTATGGCATCCAGACGGCCATTAGTTGAAAAATTGAAAGTGTACTTTTTGATGATTTAAATAGAGGCAACATATACTCTAATCTATGAGTTATTTATTGACATAAAAGTCTTTATTTCTCTTGTTAGCATTAGTTGGAAAACATAGAGAAAACTTTGTCGCTTCAAATTTGATGAACACTTGTATAAAAGTAGCTTCGAAATATAAGATATAAAACTAGGAAGAGAAATATTCATAGTCTTATCGTATAAAACTATTCGATAATTTGGTGATACTTAGTCAGGTAGATCTAAAAAATCCTTGTCTCTAATACGAACATCTCATTATTCCTGTATCCTAAATAGACCATTGTCTATGAATTTCTATTTCAATAAATAAAAGAACTCCCATTGTATCACATTTACTAGCGTCATCTACTTGGAAATCATGCACTGATGTAGATTTATTACTTTTCATAGATTGGTTGGTGTCGCGAAATCGATATTCTATTGATAGACAAACAGGTAGACGTAAGGATTAATTTTAACATCTCTTTTAGTTTTCATCACCGTTCAGTCAATAATAGTGAGTAAAACAATGAGTAATCAGTTAAGTCAATTGCGTTTTGCTTTTTTTTCTTCTTTAGTTTTTAAATGATTCAATTTGTCGTAATTTAATATTACAATGAAAGACGATATTGTCGAACAACAAATAGTAAAAATGAATAAAACATCTGAAAAATCATCAGGTTAAAAAAAAAAAACAAATAAAATTCAATAAAAATTAAAACAACAAAAAAATTTAATTTTAATTATAGATAATCAAGATAAACCTCCAATGATAGCTCAACTTGCAAGTTTACAAAGACTAAAAGAAGTAAAATTATTTTCCAAAATAAAAACAAGAAGAAAACAAACTTCATTTTAAATTTATTTTTACATTTCTTTAGGTTGGCTGGTACTGGGGTCCATTAAGTTGGATTGAAGCTGAACGATTACTCAAAGATAAACAAGATTATTCATTTATTGTTCGAGATAGTAGCCATCGACATTATTTTTTAGCAATAACATTTAAATCACAAGGCAATATTCATCATACTCGAATTGAACATAGCAACAGTTAGATTTTTTTAATTCATTCGAATTTTTATATTGTTCTTTTTTTAATTCTTTTTTTGTTTTTAGATTCATTTAGTTTTTATCATGGAAACTCAAAATCACAGTGTACATCACCTGATATTGTAGAATTTATAGAAAATACAATTGAACATTCAAAATCGGGTCAATTTATGTTTTTTATTCGATCAAATATACCCGGTATATACAAAGAAAATATTTATGAGCATAATTGTTTTTATATTTTGAATGATCTTCTGATGTTCATCGTTTAATGAAAGAAAATAGTTCATGTCGATTTTAAATGCGAAAAGAAAAAGTTGATCGAGAGTTACTAGTTTCAAGTATCAATATCAAATAGAAGATAAGGATTAATTGTTTCGGATATCCTGAATGGTGTTGGAAAAAGAAAAAGAAACAAGATTAACTACAAATTGAGAGAAGAAAGAAAAGTTAATATAAAATTTTATTGAAATAGTTTATTTTAGTTTTCATATGTATAGAGATATCATTAGCTTAAAAATCTGATTAGAGACAAAATGAATAATCAGACTTGACGACGGAACGTTTCCGATTGGTAAATCGTCTTTCGCTTGATACTATTACCATTCGATTGATCGTAATCCATAATGAAAAAGTCTTTTGGGGTTCGGTTTTTTTAATCTTTGCTTGTCGCTTGACTTGATTTTTGACCTATGAGAATCGCTGAGAACTTCAATGATTGAAAATTTTATTTACACATAGGCCGTATTATCACAAGAAATGTCTCAAAGTTTGGGTCATAGCAAATGTATCCTAATCGAGATATGAACTTATCATGAAGATGTCATTGATTTGAAAATATATCCCAAAACAGGTGTTTCTTTTAAATGTAACTATCTCAGTAACAATGTATTCGTTCTGGTTTAAATTTTAAGACGTTTCTAGTAACAACACGACCTATCTGTGAATAAAATTTCCGATTATCTAAGCTCTCAATGATCCTCATAGGGCAAAAATCGAGTACAATGACAAGCGAACACTGAACAACCCAGTCCAATCAATCTTCTTGATTACTCATTAAGATTAATCGAATAGCAATGATCTTAAATAAAAAGCAATTTAATAGTTGAGAATGTCCGTTCGCAATATTTTTCCAAAACACAATCTACGAAAAGTATATTTTGTTCGAGAGTAATGAAATAATCTTTGAAAAGCTCAACAAATTAGTTTAGACGGAACTAGAAGGCCGACGTTTCCGGTGAACATATTTGTTCATTCTTGTCTGTTCGAAAGCATTTCAGACGAACCAAACACTATCGGTCGTGACCAGAATTTGAATATGAACTTGGAAATGTTGTGTCTATTTTGGTTCAATAGTAGTGAGGGATAGAGGCCGAATCGAAGCAAGTCTGATGATGGACTCTTCCAAAGACCTGCAAGATTATTTTTAATAGTAAGTCAATATGTTTTTGTTTATCGTATAAGTCCTTTTGAAAATGTGTAAAAAATTGTCGAAGTCAGTTGTTTTGTAGAACAGACAATTTTTTTTACAAAACATGATATTGAACTAAACTGTAGCGTTTACCTAAGTGGGGACTACAACCATTTTTTTTCAAGAGTTTCTTTCAACGTAAAGCGGTTGTGGATCTTTAAAATATGAGTATTTAAAGAAAACGAAAATCAAGATGTCTTGTTGAAAGACAAAAACAAAATTTGTAGAGTAACTTCTGATTTACAAGCAGATATATAAATAGAGATCTCAAGTTTTAGTTTTGAATCACAATAGTAAAGCTACAAAAATTTTTCATTCAAACTAATTTTTTGGATTTTTCAAGGATTATTTCACTACTTTCAAACAAAAACTTTACACAAAATTTCTAAGTTCATATTCAAAAAGACCATCTTAACTCATAGCTTATGACTCGTCGGATATATGTCAAAAGTCAAGAAACATCTGGTCTAAAAACTTTTCGGTCACTCATATATCTAAAGCTCCATACTTGCTTACTATATCAGTTAAGCAATTAGTTCTATGAAGACATAAAATGAAAAACTTATGTAACCCCTTGAGGTTTTGAATAGTAACAACTCCTATTGTAATCTATCACGTTTCATCTACTAATTCACAGCAAGTAATATTGAACAACATCTTTACTATGCTTTAAGTGGCTTTTTTTCAATAATGATATGATTTCTTTACGATTGAAAAGTTTGATCTGTTCTTATTTGAAATAATTATTTAACATACCTGAAAGGCATCTCGATTCGTAAAAAGATACTATTGCTGACAGAAAGATACGATGAGTTATAATGTACAGTTTTTATATAAGACTTCTTATTTTAACGTTTCTTAGTATCTAAATATTTTCACACTTGCATGATACTAATGTTTGGTAAAATCTTCATAACAGAACGGAATTTTTCTGATATTTTGTAATGAAAGCATGATTTATAAACTACTAGTTATTGAAATATTTTGACAGTTGGTGAAAAGTAGTTTCGAGAAGTGCGCTCGAAATTTCGAGGTGAAAAATCTTTAGTCTAGACGAAAATTAAATTCTAATATTTGGATAACTTTTGCGATCATAATAAATTCATTCTGTATGATCTGAGGACTCTCATCGTATGATGAGAAAGTGTTAACTCAATATTTAAAGATGGAATTTTGACAACAACTGGATATTTGTCAGTTGAAAACTTCCAGACTCATATCTCTTGATTATTAAAATCATAGAAATCATTAAGAACTAGCGAAATAGGCCTGCTTTAGTGTCTCAAAAAACATCAATAAAATAAAAGTCGAAGAGTTTTAAGAGTCGAACCGGATCGGTAACCAGTAGATTGGCCAATTCGGTTTCAAACACGATTTGAATTAATCGATTCTACTAAATAAAACTTAAATGTTTTTTGTCTATAGGTCAACCAATGACACCTGTCCGTCTTCTATACCCAGTATCACGTCTTGCGTATATGTCATCATTAAAACATATAGCCCGGTTTGTCATACATCGACATATCAGTCGAGATCGTATCGATGATCTTGATCTTCCACGACGATTAAAATCATTTTTAAAACAAGCTCAGATTTATACTGAAAATATTCCATCATCAGATGATACATCAGAAACTTGAAAGTTTTTCGTTTTGTTTTTTTGTTATCGAAATTTTATAAAAAAAACTTCTTTACTCAGTGCCTTATTTAATGGACAAAAAAACAAGAAATCCAATAAAATATAACAGTCTTTTGTTTTTTTGATTGTGTGTGATTTATTCAGAAAATTTCTTCATGTATTTTTTTTTGGATAATGTAAATATAATATAAATAAGAAAAATATGTTTTCTTTAAATTTACCGCCTTTGTTTTATATACATATATATTTTTTTTTTCCTATCTGTTTAATGAACAAAAGAACAATGGATAAAAGAGAAAGAATATTTACTATAACAAAAAAGTATTCATCAATAAATATGAATGCTATTAAATTAGAAATGAATAATAAACAAACAAATGATATTATTTGTAAATCATTTTGTTTAAAAAATATATGGATTTTGTTTATAATTATATTACCATTGAGTGGAATTATAATTGGTTTTATATTTCGAAATGATTGTCCTTTAGAAAAATATATTCCACTTTGGGAAATAATTAATGGTTTTATAACAATTATTTTTCTTTTATTAATATTTATAACAAAACAATTTTTTCATGAAATTCAATATCGAAATTGGTCGATATTTATTATTGATCAATTAAAAATTTTATTAATTTTTTTTCTTTTTCTTTGGTTTATATGTGGAAATGTGAGTTTATTCTTTTCTTTTTCTTTGTGTTAGATAAATTTTTTCTTCATAATTTTCTATCAGATATGGGTCTATAAATATTATAGAATAGTCAAATATGACAAACAAATATTATTATCGAATAAAAAAACAATTGAAAATTTTTATTGTAATAAAATTGTTTATTTATATGCATTTTGGTATATGACAACGATTTATATTTTATTAATTGTTTGTTTAATTTTTTTCCTTTTTTCTTTAATTTATAATTGTTTATATAAGAAACGAGAAACAAGATGATTGCATATAAGAATATATATAAATATATTTTTAGATAGAAACAAATAAAAGAAAAAAAAAGTGTTCACTAGTTATCTAAGTCGAAAAATGGTTGTCACATATGTGACGGGAAATAAGAATAAATTAGTGGAAGTTCAAGCGATACTGGCCGATGCATTACCAAACTTAAGATCACAAGATCTTGATTGTAAGTATTCAATTAATGAGAGAAATCTCCCAGTTGATAAATTGTTTTTGATTCAAGACTATGTGCATTATGTAGACCAAAATGACCTATGAATACCGTGAAACAAATTCGCACCCTTAACTGAGTGCTACGAAGATATTACATTTGTATGGTATTTTTTTATATGAATGCTGTAGCCCCCCACAGGATCTATTCTCATTAAAGCCTATCTTTATGCAAAGTTTAAAGGAAAAATTCGAAAATCATTTTTCTAAGTGTTGCTGCATTCATTTAAGAAATACCATAATAATACAGTATTTAGGCAACAATAAACTAAGGGTAGGAATAATTTTCAGGGTATTCTAAGCTCATTTAGGTCTGCATCATGTATGTAGTCTCGACTCAAAAGCGATTTACTAGTTGTAGGATTTCTTTCGTAAGTAAAAAAAAAAAGAAAAGACATTTGCTTGTTTAAGAGAAAATTTAGTTGTGTGTTGTATGTATTATAATTCGAAGAAAGATAGACTCCATTTTTTTCGTTATGTACTTCAACAAATTTTTAGCAATCGTATTTTATAAAATTATCAAGGATACATTTTCAATTGAAGATTACCATTTGACTTCATATGTAGTCTATGATTTAGTTTTCATGAGATTAAAAATGATCCAAAAGATTTCGAGTTCATGTTCTTGTTTTGATGTTACACATCTCTGATGCTACTTATCTGATCTTTGAATACAAAAAGAAAACAAAGAAACGAACCAATATATTATTTAATCATTCGTCTTTTTTTACTATATAAATAAAAATATTTCGATTAAAAAAAACCAGGATACCTGTGAAAACTATAAACATTCATTCAAGGTTACGGTTATTATTTTCAGCTGGAATATAATCTTTTTTTTTTTACACAAGGACACTCATGGTTAGTTTAATTTTTCCTAATACAAGGTGTTTTATAATTGAATATCAAGGTAGCCGTGGTAACTTTTGGATACGCATAAAAACTGTGGGCCACGCGGATGCCTCCAATTACTTTGGTGTTAATTATAAAATATAACAATAATTACTTTGATATAGAATTAAAAGTCAAAGTAACTATGAGTATTCGTGTGTACAAAACAAACTATATTCCAGTTGAAAAGCAACAGCGTAGCCAAGAATCAGTCTTCATATGATGTTCATTTCGAACTTTACTTTTTTTTTGCCAAATTGGTGATGTCCGTGGATTTTCGCAATTTTTACAATGACCCAAAAACACTATAAAAATTTGTTGTAATAAAAATGAAAAATTCTATGCGAACAATTTCTAATGTGAAATCGGTGAGAAATTAATTTCAATACTGTTTTTTTTAATGCATTTAATAGTACCTGAATATCAAGGTGAACCTGAACAGATAACTAAAGGAAAAGCAATATTAGCTGCTCAACGTATAAATGGTCCTATTTTGGTTGAAGATACGTCTCTACATTTTAATGCTTTACATGGTCTTCCCGGTCCATATATTAAATGGTTTTTAGATAAATTAGGTCATGATGGTTTGAATAAATTACTTGCTGCTTATGATGATAAAACAGCATATGCACAATGTGTATTTGCATTTTGTGCTGGACCATCTCATCAACCTATTACATTTACTGGTCGTTGTCCAGGACGTATTGTACCAGCACGTGGACCAAATACATTTGGATGGGATCCTATATTTCAACCAGATAATGAACAAGGGCAAGCAGGAGAGAAAACATTTGCAGAAATGGATAAAACAATAAAAAATCAAATCAGTCATCGAAGTCGATCATTACAATTGGTTAAAGACTATTTTGATAAACATCCAGAATATGTTTCGTAATCATGTTTCCACTTATGTGAGAATTTTTTTCTTTTGTTTTTTTTATATAAACAAAACAAAGGCATATATTCTATTCATGTTACACGATCATATGATTCGTTACAATTGATATAAAGAAAGAATCAACTGTATTAAAAGAATATAACAAGTATGAGAGTTTTGATTTGAAAATAATGAGAAATATCACCATATAAATAGTATAGAAATGACGAACAAAAGGCAAAAAGCACTTAACATCATTATATATAAAGTCATAATCGATTCATTACTTATACAGTCAGACTTAAAAAAGTTCGTTTGTAATATACATACGAAGAAAAAAAAATGATTCATAGAAAAGAATATTTGATTTTATATGTTTTTGTTTTTAATTCATTCATATTTATCATTATGCATACCATCATCAAAACAATGTGGATGTTCATATATAAAACCTATTTTTTCTGAATCAAGAATTGTTAGTCGTTATACAGCTCGAGATCATTCATGACCATGGATTGGTACTTATCAATATTTAAATAATCTATTAAATATCTATATTAAATGAAATAGTAAGTCTTCGTCGATCAAAACCTAATCAATCATCAATAATTCCGGGTTCTCTTTTTTGTAGTGGAACTTTAATTAATAATAAATATGCATTAACAGCTGCACATTGTTTTAATAGTATTATATCGTCATAACTTTCAAATTATTTTGTTGTTAATGGTGCTTCATATAAAAATCATACAAATCCAATTCATTCTACAATTAAATCTGTTATTTTACATGAACAATTTAATAATAAAACTTATGAAAATGATATTGCTTTATTAGAATTAAGAAATAATGTTGATATCAATGATTCAAATATTGGATTTATTTGTTTACTACAAAATAATATGTCAACATATACATATGAATCAATGAATGGTATAGCAATTGGTTGGGAACTTTTACAACAAGATGCTTTATTATCTTATACTCTTCAACAAGTACAATTACCTGTTATATCATATACAAATGAATATTGTCGTAATGTTGTATATGATAATATTATTCAATTTTGTGCCGATTTTATCCAAGGTGGTAAAGATACCTGCTAAGGTGATAGGTAATGAATAAATATTTTAAAATCTTATTTTTAATTAATAAAAAATTTAAGTGGTGGACCTTTGATGATTTATGATTCAAAAAGTGATACATGGAATATTGAAGGAATCACTTCGTATGAACATGGATGTGCAATAGCAGAATATCCTGGTGTATATACTCGTGTGAGTATGTTTGTGAATTAAATTAATACTCATATAAACGATAAAAATTCTGAATCTCAAGCATCAATCATATCAACATCTTATGTTATGCTATTATTTTTATTTTGTATAAATTTATCTTTCTGTTTGAAAATAATTTCTTTATGTTTGTTTTAAAAAAACTTTTTTTTTCTTTTATTTCTAGTTATATAATGAAAAAATATGTTTATATTGTTAGACAAAATATATTTGATTAATGATAATGGTACTAATACTAATTTGTTTATCATTCTTCTACTTTTATTCAAAAAAAAAAAAAGAGATGTAAGCTTTCGATGTGCTCAACACGCCATTTTCAGACACAAAAAAGTTTGAATTGTACATGAAAATTTTATTTTTTATTTTTTCTTCCTATTATAATGCTAGCAAACACTCCAATACGATCATAATATACATGTCTCTCCCTTACATTGCAGTATTTGTTAACATTACTATAGAAAGAAAAACGAAAAGAAAAAATAATTCAATTATATGATTGTGCTTGCTTTGGATTGATCAATTAGTTGTGATGACCATGAGATCTACATAGATCAACCATATAAGTGTATGTATAGTATTTGACGCATGGCATTTATTTACTAGATTCATTATCATCTTATGAACTTTGATCACTATGAAAATTTGGTTCATGATTTTCATCTTCTTGATGTTCATGACCAACAATGAGAGGGATACGAGTAGAAGTATGCTTTCCATTTATCAAATCATCATATTCTTCATTATTATAATCGTATGGTAGTTCAGAACCCTGCTGCAAACCTTGAACATCATTGGATCGAGCTGATGCTAAAGAAACAAGAACGATAACGACAAACAAAAAACAAACCAGAAAAGAAAAGAAAAGAAAACCACGAAAACAAATAATATAATAATCAACGATAAAGCAATGCGTGTTGATCGTATATTTGTATATGCAATCCAATAATATTTTTGACAAACCAAACTACGTATTTGCATACAATTTTTATTATTCGCTTTGTGCCCATTCATTTTGGTCGTGTTTTTCTATTTTAATTTACACGTTATTCTAAGGTGATTTTTTTATATTTGGGCCCTAACAAGTCATAGATTGGTTTTTTTTCTATACAAACAAAAAACACATGTTGAATCATTACTCTCACAATAAAACATTAAAAAGTTGAGAATGCAAGGGAGAGAGAGTAGACATGTGACGTCAAATTGGCCTATTAGTATTTTATTTTGATCAATTCGATTGAATCATATATAAATGAAAAGAATATGTTGACATCAATATTTTGGTATTATTTTCATGGAGTTTCAGTCGGATTTTCAAACCTAAAAGCTATCAACAATGTAAGAGATTTTTGGTTATTATTCTAATAATCCATCCTATCACAGTAGATTCAACCTGAGAAAAGCTAAGCAAGACAAAATACTATTGTCATTATGAATCTTATAACTCTTTGATAATGCTTCAATGTCATATATAAACTACCAACTGATTGTTCAATTTAACAAGATTTAGGTCCAATGTATTGGTAAAGCCTATTAGCATATTTACTGTATTTATCATCCATTTCTACCATTCAACAAATAATTTCATTCAAAAATTGAAATGATCAAAATTCTCGTATCACTCATTTGAAAATTCTTTTAAAAAACTATAAAATCATATATTTTCCAAAGTCAAAAAAATTTCACCATTCACAAATATTTCTTAGTACATTCTTTTCCACAAATAGTTTTATGTATTCTTGAACAGTATTTAGAAGAATTCGATGAGCAAAAGTTCAATTTGAGTCAAAACTAATATGATATTTGAAATCAGCATAAAAAGTTGAGTTGGTGTATGTGTGATTTAAAGAATTTCAAGAACATTTTTTTTCATTGAAAAGCTTACTCCTGGTTGTCTTCTGGGATCAGATGAAAAATGAATTGCATCAAGCTACGATCTGGACATTATAAAGAAACTTCGAAAATTGTCTAAAAATATTAAATAGCAAAATGACAGACATATGCCAACAGTATCTATCTGTACATAAGAGCTATATCTCCTTGAACTGAACAATCAATTGATGACTTATATATCTATGGAATTGAAGGCTCATCAAGTTGCTATAAAATTCATAATTTTGCTAATATTTTATCTTGTCTACTTATTCTCAGACTGAACCTATTGTCATAAGACGAATTATTAGAATAATGACTAAAAATGTGTTACTTTGTTGATAGCTTGAAGGTTTCAAAAATTGATCGAAACCTCATGAAACTAGTACCAATATGTTAGTTTCAACATTCTCTTTTATTGAGATATGATTCAATGGAGTTGGCCAAAAA